TTTGCCGTCAACTTTGTAATAGTCACTTTTTGTCCTGGGCGAGGGGAGAGATGGGGAGAAAACGGAGAAGCATCTGCCATCCAGGAAAGGGTTAAAGGGAGCTGGTAGCTTCCATTAATATTTAAATATGGTATCTCAGTCGGCATCTCTCCTTACGGCTTCTGAAAAGGCGTCGAGTCACATCTTGCAGTTGATGACAGCGTTGTCATCAGTTCCATCCTGCAGAGCCACAGAGCAGAAAGCACTCAAAGGGCGAGTTATGACCTCAGACTTTGGCCTCGGTTGGTGCAAGTGGGCGGCACGTCACTCTTGGCCACGACCTTCGACTTTAAAGCTCATGTGTTTTGGTTCATATTTCACATGAGAACGGATTCTAATCTATGTGTTTCCTTGTCTTTTTTTCCGTAGATTTTAAAGTGAGCGGGGCTCAGCGGGATAATAACGATGACATGAACCTCTCTGCGCCAATTACAGTTAAGGAGATCTTTTGCTTAATGACCAATTACATACAGCTGATCTGTACTTCGTGTTTAGTACATGTTGCTAATGATGCCGATGAAGTGTCGATGAACTTGATGAACATCATATCACATGGTGGTGAGCACCCGAGTAGCCTACAACCTCCGAGAGCTGCCAGCATGACTGTGGACTCTATACTACACGGCTGTTTTTTGTCTAAATCATAACTCATAAGGAATACATTGGAACTTTTGTTATTACCTTCCCCAAGGGGTTAATGTCTTTGGTTTGATTTGTTGGTATGTTTTTCTGTTTGTGTGTAGGATTACACATGAAACTTTCTTGGAAGGGTCAAGCAGGGGGCAGGAAAGAACCTGCTATATTCTGGACTGCATCCAAAGCACAGATGGTACACACGCATTAGTACACCATTTTGCTTATTGAAACCTCGCTGGAGGTCTGCGCTCGCCGAGTGCCTCTCCAGTTAATTTACGGGATGATGTCAGTTAGGAAAGCGTTGGTTTGAATGGTAAATGGTCAAATGACTTGGATTTACGGAGCCTCTTTGTAGTGGTGCTCTACAGCACATTGAAAACTAAAATTCATGGGCTGTCAATGAAGTGTGCTTCACAGAGAGGATGAAGCAGGAACAAGAGGAATCAGAATGTGTGAACAGACTGTGAGCAGATGGTGGATTAGCGTGACAAGAAGTGGCACCGCCAAATATTAGAAGGTAGACACAACACACAGACAAATAGACTTGATATAGTACTTTACACGTGGCTATACGCTGGACTGTGAGTCATCAGTTGTGTGTCAGTGCAAAATGATTGTGTGCCGCCCACAGTGAACACTCTGGAGACGAGTGTTGTGTCTACTCTAACTATTTGCCCCCACACGCCCGGGAGCCGAGTGCCCCGGCTGGCCGATCGAGAGTCACATCTAAGGTTCCTCTTTGCATTTGATGGTCTCATTAAGCGGCCCATTAGGGAGCCTCGCTGTGCGTACAGGGGCCTCTGCATGGCAATTTGCAGTTTAATGGCCGCGGGTTCTCCTGCACCGCTCTGCCAGGTGCCCTCCAGAGGGACCTGACATTTCTCCCCCTAATGGAGGCTCAGCAGTTAGTTTTTGGGGGAATATTGTTTGATCTGTATTGTATTGTATTGTCAGAGCTGAGTTCAGTGGGAAAATGTCCTCAACCATAAGTTCCAAAAACCCAAATGTCAACCCCTTCTCTGAATCACCGCTACCATTTGTCGCTGAATTTTCAACTTACATGCATCTGCAGATCTGGTGTACATTTCACCCGACTGAGATACTGTGCTCAGGGAGGAGTATGAGGAATGTGTTAACATTTAGCTGCCAGCCAAATTAATATGCGCAAGGGCTCACTCGTGTTGACATTGTTGACATTAGCCTTTAGCTCAGATGAGGCACGGTTTGTGTTGGTGTCTACAAGACATCGTCTTTTTGCTTCTTTTCACATTCATAATGTTGTGCTTGTTTTTTAAAACATTGCTGTTTTTTATAAGTAGTTAATTACATTTCTTTTATTGATATTCTTCCTTTTTGTTATAATTTATTTGGAATCTTTTCCCTATCTGTCCATTGCATGTACAGTTATACTAATGCCTTTGTCTGCCAGTTCCATCTATTTGTAGCTTTTTATGTACTGTCCTCGCTGAAATGAAAGCTCCGTATGTGAAAATAAATATTGTTTTTTCTGCAGGTTTTCCACAGTAATTCTCCATCACTGTGGTCGGGGACTCATTTCTGTCTAAATTAACTTTCCCAGTGCAACCACATTACTCACTGTTTTCCATTAACACTTGCACCGGTCCGGGTTAACTACCCTGTGCGCTGTCATTATCCTTTCAACCCGAGGAGCGGGGATCTCTTTTTCCCAACTGAAGGGATTCAAACGGAGCAATCGTTCTTTCAGGAGAAGTTAGCGGCAGTGTTGTGGCTCCTGATACAACATTTTGAGACTTGCATGTCCTGAGTTGCACTTGGTTTTACCCCCCAGGGCTGTTCCTCCCATGATCCAGTACAGTCTGGAGCTCATCCCATATCCTGCTGACGGCCCAGGCGGCCTCCAGAACCGCACACTCAGCGGTGAGGGTTTTGTTCAGAAAAAAAAATCTAAAAAAAATCATGCTTTTATAAAAGTAGTACTTTCACAGAGTGATACTGCATAAAGTTATTTATTTTCTGATGAAAATGTCTTCTGTTTCTATTATGTAATTGTGAGAATTGATGTGCAATTATTTTTTGAAATACGTGTCATATATGAGATTCATAAACTGCAGTAAATGAGGCAGGATGGGATCAAGTGTCAGGTCATGTTTCCGTTCAAACTTGATGTCAGAGGCAATGACTTAAAGGAAAATTGTTGGATTCCTAAAATGTGAATAAAATGTGTTCTTCTTTCAGTTAGAAATATCAATATCTATGCAAAGAACACATTCTTGATACCAGGTGCAGGATCACAGCAGTCATAGTCAGAAAGCATGAAAGATCAACACTTGCTATTGTTGATTAGCTTTTCTTTTTTAGATTAGGGTTTGTAAAGAAGTAATTGATTTTCTCCATTATAAGGTTTGTGTTTAGGCTGACCCAGTTCACGTGGCATTGTTTCTGTTGGCTGTTGTACATCAGCACTGCCCCAAAAGACCCTGAAAAAACTCAAAGAGACACGGCTGACTCGTCCTAGCAGGGAAAGTGCCCAAGCTGGAATAACTCAATCAGCTTTTCCTGCAATGAATACGGTTTATTAGACTATTGTTGGAAAATTATTTAAAAAACACAAACAAATCATTTTGGAAATACCAAACTGAGTTCTCATTTGTCTGCCAGATAATGTTATTTTTAGCCATGCATAACTCAGGAATTTTTTCAGACAATGTTCACTTTTTTTGGTCAGTTTCTGACATGTAAGGCGCAGGTGGGTTCTGGCTGATGGATGGACCACATTGCAATGCTCACTGTTTCTGGCTGCCTTTGTTCAGGGTCAAAAGATGTTTTATGAGTGCATCTGTGTTTGGAGGCACCTCATCACTGAGTAACATTTATAATACACACATTCTCCTGGACATCTGGTAATAGGCACTCAGTTTAGAGCCGTTTGGTTAACGTCTCTTCCGTTATTTGGTTTTGACAGCTGGTCGCAATTTGAAGTCGGGCGGAAGCAAATGGAAGCTGCAATGAAACCGAAGATATGAGCATTTTTCATAGAGAAAGCAATCTGATTGAATAAATATATACACTCATTAATCAGGGTACTTGTGATCCTGTTGATTAAGATAATAAATAGAATTCATGGTTCTGATGTGATTTGGCTAATGAGCAGAACAAAGCTTGGATGTGTGATTAAGCCATAGTTAGTCCCTGCATAGGCCAACAGGTGGCACAGCGCTGAGGCAGGTGGCAATGAAATAATCTGTCATTGGTATGGGAGGAGTAGAAGCTTCCCTCACACTGGCAGGACAAAGTATTCCCGTGAAAAACACTTCAAAGACACAGGATGCATAAAAACACCGTGGGTGACATTGTACATTTTTAATCTTGTGGACTCTGGCAGGTCCGCGCTGTTCCTAATTATAGGCTGAATATGTGAAATCAAATGATTACATGATGTATCAAAATGGCATCCAGAAATAATGTGATGCAGTTGTGCAACTATGAAAATGCTTCTTGATTTTTATGTTTCATTATATATAACTTCTGATCTGATCTGATGATGGAATTAGTAAGTTGTTTTTATAAAACCAAATTTGCATTTCTATGACAATAATTGTAACGTTCTGCTAAAGCACTTTATGGAAGAAGAATAAATAAATCAAGATGATGTTTTCAAACTCTGTAGAACATATTTTAACTGTGAATTTAAGGGTTATTTAAAGGGATAACCGGGGACATGATGGTCCAAGCAGTTAAAGGGAAGGGGGTTGTTATTGCAATGTGAGGGTAATGGCTGAGGAAGAAGATTGGGACGATGTGCATTTCATTTTATTTTATGTGCACTGCTGTCTTGTTGTCTATTGTTACACTGTCTACTGTCACGCACCAACCGCCAAGTCAAATCCCTTGTATGTATGACATATTTTGGCAATAAATGTTTCCTGATTCCTGATAAATATCCTGCTGCTAGTGCTGCAGATGACAGTGACAATGAGGAGGATAACTATGGCAATGAGGGTATTGGGGAGGAGGTGAGCTTTTGATTCAGCGATGATGATGAGGGTAAAGATGACTGCTGCTGTGCAAGGATATGTTGGATTATGAAGCTGCTGGAGCTGCTGGTGCAGACGAAAACATTGGTATGATCCTGAACACAATGATGCTGATGATGATCAAGAAGGAAATGGGAAGGGAAATGAGGATGAGGAAGGAAATTAATCATAACTAATTAGGTGAGGAATAAGAGGGTTCATTTTTGAGAGGATGAGGGTCATAGTGGTGATGGTGTGTATTCACTATCTTCTGTGCCCTCGCCCTCGCCCCTCCCACTAGCAGCGGCTGCCGGTTTACGTGATGACGTCGGATGTATATGAGCGCAGGCGGCGGGATCTCTCTCCCTTTTACCGCCATCGGAGCGGAGCCTTTCTTCCCCGGGTCCTCGCCACTGCGCAGCGCCGCTTCTTCAGTCCGACCTCCGGCCAGAAAGCGAAGGTAAGGGACCGGACTCGGCAACGGCTTCGCCCACCGACGCCCCGCGCTAGTGCGTCCTTCCAGAATCTACATTTCAACCCCTTTGCTTGAATTGGCGGCGTCAGAGGGAAGGCAGCTCTGCTAAAGCTAGTGGAGGCAGACGGCGGCAGCAGCCATTGAGCGGCGCTCCACCATGATGTCTGTCAGCGCTGCACGCGATTAACAAAATAACCAAACAATGGCATCATACGTGTCCGCGTCCACTGCTCCGGTGTGACAACTGCTGCATTGACAGAAAGGCCATGACGGTTGCACAATTGCCTCAAGTGTCACGTTTTTGGGGATATGTTGGCACGTGTCTCGTATCTTGTATTTTTTTTATTTTTTTAGAGGACTTGACCTTATTTATTGGAGGATGACGCCCGGTTCTGGAGCTTGGACCTAAGTGACGTTAGTTAAAGCGCGAGGTTAAAACGGACAACCAGTAACGTTACACAACGACCGGTAACGGGCGGTTGTCACCACTTCCTACCGACTGGCGCACATTTTTCCAGATGCGGCACCGCGTCCGCCGGAGCGGGTCCCCGCTCTGCCCGAGAAGTGCGCGTCGAGCTAGCAGCACGCGAGCTAGCAGCAAGTAGCGGGACCCGTCGAGGCGGCGCGGTGTCGAGAGCGGGCCGGCCGGCTAAAGTTAGCCGGGTTGTTGGCCTAGAGGTCTGCTTGTCTCTGAGTTCGTGGTTTAACGTCGTACGGTAATTCACGTCTTACCCGGTTTGGCACGCTCGCGCAGACTTGAGTTTTAAAGCGAGGCGTCAGAGCTGCCGTCATTCGGTCATTAACGGGTCTCTAGACGTGGGCACGCAACACGTGGCCGCCGGGGAAGGATTTGGAGAGGAACGACATCACGTTAGTCCCAGGGACTGCAAATGGTGTCCCTGCTGGACAGGTGTTTGACGTGGAGTTGAAGCTGCTCATACACACACGTGAGGGAACGACACGATGTGTAACGATCCGGGTTTTGGTCGCTTTTTGTGATACTGGTGAGATGAGTTGCAAGGTCTCACGTGCAGTCTACATGCTTGGCAGGTGCCTTTTTTTTAAACTAAGCACGACCAGTTCACGCTGTGATCCTTTCATAAGTCCTCACTTTGACTAGTCGGGGGTGGGGGGGGGGCAGCTAGTATTCTGTCTAAAGGAGATGACCTAATGTTACATGGAGATGCTAAAGCTGTCCGTGTACAGATGTTGTGAGAATCTGCAGACGCACGCCACTAGTTGACCCATCCGTATAGATTACAAAAACAACCTGTTTGACCATTTCAAAATTATAAACCCAATTTGAAATTCTCCATAATCCCATTTAGCCCACTTACAGTATATTTGAGGAATGTGTGGTGCTGTTAAAACAAAATCTGCATTGCTTTCTCGTCTATATAATTTGGCATAGAGAATACAACTTGGTTTTGGGGCTTACTCCAGATATTGTGCCTTAATATATGCCATGTATTTTAATTTATTTTTTTACCATTGTTGGCTTAAATGAGAGCATTGAGTGCTGGGATTACCGTGCTGCTATCAAATCCGCCCGGGTTAGCCCTTCGATATCCGTTTAATGAAATACGTTGCTTATTCTGCAAACAAGCAGTAAAATACCAGTCAAAGACCACAATGAAGCATCTGTCGGTCTCAACCCTTTTGCGATGACTTATGCTGCAGGCGATTCTAATTCTGATCAGTGGTGTCAAGTGGCAGCTTGGTGAATTTGATTAGATCATTTCTTTACTTTCTATATGGCACTTTTTAGTGCCACTAATTATTCTATAGTACAACAATGAAAGTTCACTCTTTGAAGGAACAATTAACTAATAATAAAGGTAGTTTAGATGCATTCGTCTTCAATTTGGAAAAAAATAATCAAGAACTAGGAAAAGACCACAAACATCCGCAGCTGCCTTTCAACTGTGGTTTATTGGTTTCTTTAACATGACCGCACAACCATCTTAGTATTTGCATCAAGGACTTGTATGCAAATCCTGCTTGACCCAAATGTGGAGTTTTTGATTTGTCAAAATGAATTAACTAGTGTCCAGTATTTCTAGACTAATTACCTTCTCTTTTTCTCTAGCATCACTCAAGACTCGGCAAAGATGGCAGACATCGACAAGTAAGTGCATCATCTGCCAGTGCTGCTATGGTTCAAACGCACGCCTCCTCCACTAGTCTGAGGCCTGTGTGGCCTGAAGTCCGAATTATTATAAATGGGCAACCATGTAGAAACCGCATGCTGTGTTGGGGAGATAAAACCTAAGGCGGTTTAGTCTGTTCAATGAAAACAAGCCTGTTCTATAGGAAAGGAAACCTTGAATTAATTCTGTTTAAGTCTGGCGCTATATAGAAAATACAATTTAACCAAATCAATAGACCTTTTAGGGAGGCGGGGGGTAATTTAATGGAAGGGGAAACACTGAGTAAGTAGTTCCAAAACTTCTCCAGTCAAATGGCAATCCATCCATATTGTGCCGTGGTGCAGCAATTGATTTCTGCGGGAAATGAGACTGAACTCTTCCTCCTTGGTTACAAACTGAAGTGACCTTGAGCTGGGCATGCAAGAAGGGCTACAGCTATCGTTTCTTATGCTAGTAAAGTCCTTCAGCCATACGTATTCTGAAACGTTTCAGTTGTGAATTTAAATTTTCCTGACTAAATTAAGTTTTCCAGTCATTTAAAAAAAAAAAAGGTTCTTTGGAAGCAATTGTATTTCCAGAATTAGGATTAAGTGTTTCGTTTGAAGCTGCATTTGGAAAACATTGTAGCAGACTTTCAGATTACATCCCCAGTGATCTATGACAACTTCTGACAAAAAATTTCTATATCAAAATCTATCCTATTCTTTGTTGGTTCTGCCCTTTCAACCAGTGATGTTTCTGCATTTTGTTGACCCTCCCGTTTGTGTCCCCCTGAGCAGCAAAGACCAGGCTGAGATTGACCCGGCAGATATGGAGGACGTGGAGGAAGTGGAGGAGGAGGAGACTGGAGAAGATGAGAACAGCAAAGGTAAGAATCTGCTAAATGAAATTAGCTGGTAATGTAACTATTCTCCCATAGCTGGAAGTTACAAGAGGTCTGTCTTCAAATACAAACGAAACTGCAGAAATAAAGACGGTGGATGATAATGTTCTAAATCCTTAATGTTATTTAGATAACAATGCCATTCCAAACATTGCGTTGTGCTGTCTGGTACTTATTCTGAGAATTATTACATGGTTTTTAATTGTAGTTCAAGGTGGGAGCCACAAATCAAAATTTATTTTGGGATCGTGATGCTGTTGACGCAACACTTGGCACCCAATAAATGATTTAGTTTCTCATATCTGCCGACTCCTGGCTCATTGTAGATTCATATAGACGGCTGTTTGGTCTCATCTATTTATAACAAGTTTGAACAGTCTTTTCAAGGCCAGGCTGTAAGGAGGCTCTTTCTGGCTGCTCTCAGAAAAGCGTTTCACAAGGCGGGAGATTATAAACGCAAGTAATACTGTTGCTGCATACCAACAATAAGATGCAGCCCAAACTGTCATTGGTAACCCGTGCATATGCTAATTTCACACATCATGGCTGCAAAATCAGGATAAGTGTTTAAAAGGCAACCGGCTGATTTTGGGTTTATTTTTCCTCACTCAGTGAGCAAATATGTCAATTTCAAGTCATTCTAACAAAGTTTAATGTTTGCACTGTTGACATCCTTTTCTTCGCAAGCCATATATGAAACTGGTGTTTAGACTATGAGGGTGGTGTCCTTGCCACTCCCATCTGGTTATTTCACCCCCAACCAAATTGATCTTTCCACTAGAAAAGCAACATCTTGCACTGTGTGAATTCAGACCCGCATAAGTGTTTCTTTGGATCTACGCAGTCTCAGAAATTGCCAACAGAGAAGTGACTTCCAATCTCATCTTCTTACTTGGCGGCGGGGATGCGCCTGAGCTTTGATAAGGTGCAAGCAATGTGTCAAACACTTGGACTGTACCATCTGTCACATGTCCACTTGCTCTTGGAAGAGCACACCATTGCTGACTGCCTCTTGTGTGTCTATGAAACACTGCTAATCACACATGATGTATTTCCGGAGGGGTTGGTATACGGACCAGAATGATGAGTTATTTCTGTCTTGAGCATGAATGTGGGTTGCCACGGGTCTGAAAAGTTCTGGCAAGTTCTCAAAATCCTTCCTTGAAGGTTAAGGTTGCCAATTTGGGTAATTCTAACATGTTTTTCTGCAAAAGCATATAACAGGGAACTTGAATATAGTTTAGAATAAGACTGCAAGCCTAGCTCAGCTGGACCCTGGATGCAGCTATTTGGGAACTTTGTCTGCCAGAATAGTTCTGTTTTTGAACGTCTTAGTCATTACCTTGCATTACCCTGTTTATTTTAATACATTTTTATTAATATAATTTGTATACAGTAGGCTAACTTTTTAAAACTGAGTAGGCTGTGTGCATGTCCACATAAAAGTACACCATCTTAATTATTCGGAGATAGTGGGGGCCATCAAGAGGAGCGAGTAGGACTTATCATAAATAAAACTTTCCGCAAATGAAAGGCTGAGCAATAAAACTTAATTCACAACTATATTTCAAACATTTCTGGAATGCAGAAGATGCTGTGCTTTAATTAGTTCCTGTAATTTTGCAACCCTACTCAGTTAAGCTATCTGGTAAAACTGAAGTGAGAAACCTGTCACGCTGCTGAATCTGCAACGCTCTACATGGATATGACTATGGATTCTATTCCTCAGCTCGTCAGCTGACTGTGCAGATGATGCAGAACCCACAGATCCTGGCTGCGCTGCAGGAGAGACTGGATGGTCTGAACGGCTCGCCGTCAGGCTACATGGAGAGGTGAGACTTCTTCTTGCAGCACGTTTGTGCAGCATGGGTCAGATTCTGCTAAATTACCTTGAGACTATATGTAATTGGCAAGAAGCCATAAAATAACCTCCACAATGACCAGGGGGTATTGTATTTGGTTACATTCTTTTTTTTACTAAGTAACTAAGGGTGCGAGAGATGGGAGATCTGAAATGTAAAACATGTCGTCCTAATCATTGTCTATAAAGGTTCAGGTGAAGCACTGAGCTGTGATTGCATTGTTTTACTAACTAAAGGACGTTCCTTCATAGTTTGTACTGATGCAATCGGAGACGATGCATACTGAAAGAAGAGCCCGACACTCCTCAGGGTCTAAACAAATGGACCTTCGCTACAATGGAGTCTGTCTTTTCACAACGACATCACCACACTTAATGGAGATCCTCTTGGGAGAGTGCTGGTCTGCTCTAAAGCTCAGTAATTGCTGAAGTAGTCGTTCCGCTGCGATTTGCTGCACAATAACCGCCTGTCCTGTGTTTTCACATTGGAGGCAAAGATAATGCACGGTCACAATGTTTGCACAGCCTTTCTCAAATCTGAAACTGATACTAAATGCTATTGAATTGCTATTGTTGCTGAATTGACCCAGTTTAATTGCAGATAAATACCAGTGAAATGACTGATCTTCATGCCAGGCATTTACTCATCTTGTACTCGTATGTCACCCCCAGCTTACCAAAGGTTGTAAAGAGACGTGTGAACGCCCTCAAGAACCTGCAGGTCAAATGTGCCCACATTGAGGCAAAGTTCTACGAAGAAGTCCATGAGCTGGAAAGAAAGTATGCGGCCCTCTACCAGCCTCTCTTCGACAAGGTACGTCGTCTATGCTCCTCCTGTATCGTATTCAGTTGAGGCTGATGTGACTTTCTGTTGGTGCGTTTTTAAACGCAAACTGCTTCCTCAAAGTACTAAAAGATTTAAGAGACCTTTTCTGATTCGTGTCCCATGAATCGTCAAATACTTGGTAGTATGCTACGTGGTTGGTAGTCTCCCTCATCTGTTTCCTTGAGGAGCTGCCATCTTTATGCTGATCCCTACTGCCGTGCATCCAGGAGGGGGAAAAAAACCTTCCTCTGATCTAGCTTGTGATTAGGAGCTCTTTGGTAGTGTCAATAAAACGGATTGCTTATGAATGGAAACCAAAAAGCAATTGTCCTAAATGAAATGTCTTCTAATCGTTTGAGTAGAATTTAAGACTCTTAAAATGTTGTTAAATCAGTTTGTTACTGAAATAAATCCAGAATAGGCCACAAGCGGCTCAGACTTGAGTTGTTTTGTTATCCCTGACGTGACGAGTTTTCTCCTACAGCGAAGCGAGATAGTGAAAGCAGCGTATGAGCCCACAGATGAGGAGTGTGAATGGAAGGCAGATGAGGAGGAAGAGCTGACAGTAAGTAAGCAGGTACAGGTGACGTATACACCTGCATGCTCCCAGTCTGCCAACATTTGGCCGGTCTTTTTTATCTCACAATTATTGCACGTAGCTCAGTGTCACCCAGAGCAGACTTGGGTTACTGAGAACAGTATAGCTTCCCAAAATGGCATGAAGCAAATTAAGAATGTGATTATATTGCTGATTTTGAGACCAATTGATATATGTAGTTATTCAAACAATTTTTATTTTTTATCCCACATGCAGTGTTTTTTAAAATACATTTTAAAAAGGAAAATGTCTTTTCAACCAGGACGAGATGAAGGAGAAGGCCAAGTTGGAGGAAGAGAAGAAGGACGAGGAGAAGGAGGACCCCAAAGGCATCCCGGAGTTCTGGCTAACTGTCTTCAAAAACGTGGATTTGCTCAGTGACATGCTGCAGGTAGGCTCATCCACACGGCTCAAGTGGCAGCGGAAGTGGGTCACTTGTGAATTTGTGATGGAAAAATCCAGCTTTGACTCCATCTGCTGGCCAAGTTGTACAAGCTGTTATCAATGCTGTCTCTCCCCCCAGGAACACGATGAACCCATCCTAAAACATTTACAAGACATTAAAGTGAAGTTCTCAGATCCCGGACAGCCCATGGTAAGTGAGCGTGACTCATGTTGAATGTCTAGAAGCAGTCGGTCAACGCCGCCCCGTCGCTAAACGCCATCTGGTTCGGTCCTTCCCAGAGTTTCACGTTAGAGTTCCTCTTCGAGGCCAACGACTTCTTCACGAACACGGTGTTGACGAAAACCTACAAGATGAGGTCAGAGCCGGACGAGAGCGACCCGTTCTCCTTTGATGGGCCGGAGATCATGTGCTGCACAGGGTGAGCGCCGCACCCGATGTACCCAATGTCTGTTGACCTAATCACGGGGGACATTTTTAGGGCTTAACATTCTTGTAATTTTAATGTTTGTTGTATATATTGGCACGTTTTGATTTTCAAAGTATTTAAGTTCATCCGCAGCTCATAAGTCAATAAATTGTTTCCCCATTATATAATCAACCTTTCTGATTACCCATTAATTAAATCTAGAAATCGTATCTATATTCCCTAAGGTGTTTAATACCTAGTCCTGGCTTCAAATTTTAGTTTTTACTATTTTCAACCAGTCATCTTTGCCCTCTGGGGACGACATCAGGGATGGAAACAAGGAAATGCTGCTGTATATAAAAACTGTTGGATTGTGTAAATTACTTAAACCGCAATTTAAATATTCAGGCTTTATGAGAACAGATGTTTGTTAAAAGATTTAATTCTGTGCAAGTGGAAAATGGCGCTTTGAGAAAGCGCCATTATCAAACTATCATAGATGAGGCCATTCTAAACTAACTGATGCTTTGTCGTCAACTCACGGCCAGCTTTTCGGAGTTTGCAGTCAGATGAGGAGAAAAGTTTATTGTGATCTTTGCAATAAATCTTTGATCTGACGAGCCAGGGCCAATCAGCATTGATCTCTACAGAGTCTTTATTTCCACTCCAACTTTTCATCCTTTCACTCTAAATCTGTTGCCAACTTTGTGGCTTTCTTACTAAATCCGGCGACTTTCCAAACCCTCTTGGCGATTATCTTTTTGTCAAAAGTGACAAATCTAGCAACTTTTCCTGGTGTTATTGGAGCCTTTTCTGATGTGAAATCAAACATTGTTCTGCAGTTCTCACCGGAGCCTCGTGCTGCATTCAGCACTGCATTACAATTATGCAAATCAGGCCACCGTTGTCACCTTTTTCACCCCTAATAGGTTTTAACGTATGGACATTATTCTGTTCTTTTTACCAGGAGACCAGGGTGGATATGATTGTACCGAAGGCTTTGAGTTTAACATATCTGCATTAGAGCAACTCTTGTAAGGGATGCACAATGAATCCCAAACAGTCCTTGCACGGTTATAAGATCAGCCTCGTTACTGCACATGATTGCTATAAAGTTTTGCTCAACAATTTCTACTCAACACCTCCCCGGCTAGATTAACCACGTACATCATTTAGTTTGACTGACCCTGACCGTGCTTTCCCCCGACACCGCCCTTTCGCCACAGTTGCACCATCGAGTGGACAAAGGGAAAGAACGTCACGTTGAAAACTATCAAAAAGAAACAGAAGCACAAGGGCCGTGGCACAGTGAGGACTGTCACCAAAACGGTGCCCAACGACTCATTCTTCAACTTCTTCACCCCGCCAGACGGTAAGTACGCAGAGGAAGAAATGCGCAGCCTGTGGGGGGGCTCGCTCGTACATGGCCAGCTGACTGTTCTAAAACAGTCGGTTGTTTGCGCAACTAACTGTCTTCATTTGTTCACAGTTCCAGAAAATGCAGAGTTGGTAAGTCATCTTCTACACTTTCTATTTGCCTTAAGAAATGTCAATCAGTGAATTACTGAATGTTATTGTTTCCAATTGCTAAAATGACCTTCATTCAAAGCTTAGTTTAGTATTATAATTCTAACACTGCCTGTTAATCTTAATGACACATGTTTTTTGCTTTAAACACAAACTGTTGGACTGTCTTCAGGACGAGGACTCTGAGGCCGTCCTGGCTGCAGACTTTGAAATCGGCCACTTCATCCGGGAACGTATCGTACCTCGGGCCGTGCTTTACTTCACAGGGGAGGCCATCGAGGACGATGATGACGACGTGAGTTTCCGCTAGCATCGATCAACCTAACGTCAATAAGGACACATGGGAATGTGTCAATAATTTGTTTTTGTTCAAACTTTAGGTGCGTTACAGTGGAAACGCCTAAATGAGCAGTTTCATCTGCTTCCAGAATCAAAAAGACTAAATCCTCTGACTAGAGACTGGGCTAGTAACATTTCCCCCGGTGGCAACTTTGGTTAAGTTTGTCCTTATTTTCATAAGGACACAAACTCTGAAGAGAAAAGTCCCAAAAACTGAAACATTCATTTGAATAAAAAACTGAAACTGGTGCACCAGGGCTCGTGTTTGAATTGGTTCTAGCGTGGTTCTAACGCGTCGTCCCTGCATGCTGACCGTGTTTCCATTAAAGAGTCAGCAGTGTCTGCACACACCAATCTGCTTGTTCATCTGCTTCTTACCTGCACACATTTTCAACAGCGCACAGCTGAAGTTCAGACCGGCTGGGCTTGTTTAAATTTGATTCTACATTACAAAAAGGCGTGACTTCCCTTCTTCCAGTCAAACTATCCAACGATTGAAGACCTACTTATTTGAATCAACCATTTTGGCCAAAGATGCCAGTTGCAGTATGTCCCAATGTATTTCTAAAGGAAAAACTTGAAGCCATCTTTTTGTTCTCAAATTCTCACATTTGTGTTTCACAGTACGATGAAGAGGGAGAGGAGGCTGACGATGAGGTAAGAGCTTTATTAATCGGTGAGTGTTTGTTACGGTTGCTCTGAAGACCCCCAGCAGTCCTAAGTGGTTCTGTGCTGTGTGTTCAGGAGGGAGAGGAGGAGGCTGATGAAGAGAATGATCCAGATTACGATCCCAAGGTGAGATCACACGCCCCCCCCTCCATCCACCCGCCCCTCTAAAGATCTCCAGTGTCCTGACAAAGACCTTTTTCAGCTCTTCTCAACTTTGATGGCTCAGGATGCGCTTTTCAAAAAATGAAGCAGCTTACTGTCAGGCATCGATAGCTGCAGCGATCTTTTTAATGTCCCATTGAGACACGTTTTGCGTGGCTATCATCCGGGGTCCAACAGGTAGAGAACAGCTGTCCTAAATTGGCTTGTCAGATTTCTACATGCAGAACATGCACTGTCAAATGCATCTCATTTTACACCAGCGTTTTGCTTCAGCGTTCATTTTGTCATCATTTTGATTTGGCTTTCTGACTTTTACTGAAACACTCCCATTAATGGTTTTCCTCTTAATCAGTTCGTTGTATAGTCCTTTATAAAGTGGCATTTCACCCCAAAACAAACAGATTTTTCCTCTCCCCCTTAGTGCTGTTAAGCCATCTGGATGGCTAAGTAGTTAAAGATGTGGGCTGGAAGTCTTTCCACTGTAATGAGGCTCTAGTGCTTAATGGCCAAAATACTTTTGGGAAAAACTCAATCACAATTATCTCAACAAAAACTTGGTGTATCCTATAGTCAAAATTATATTGGAGAGAAAACTGACGTCTTTCTGGACAATAAATCGAACTTAACAAATCCTACAAACTATAAATAAATGGCATCACAAGAGGGAAATCTGTTAGAGAATTGGAGGGTGAACTGTCCCTTAAAGTTTGCATGTTACTAAAGCCTAAAGAAAATGCATATACACCTACCTTAAAGAGAATGACAGTGAAATGTTACAAAAAACAATCAATTCTGATGTTATATATGCGAAACCTTCAGGCGTAATTAAATGAAGTCTTATTAGGCCTGCAGAAGTTTACTGTATTTTGACTGGGACTCCTAAGGTAGACAGTTTACTCACTCATGTGCTTCACTACCTTCATGAAGGAGGTCAAAAGGCTAAAGGCTGATGCTATGCAATGATGCATGATCTCACTATACATACTAGATTAAACGTGTAGTCCTAGTACACATCAGGTTTTCTCAGGGCTTTTGCTACTTTATTAGTTTAGGCTGTTTGGGATCTTTTTACCCAGACTGAAGCGGCCTGTACCTTTGACACATAAGCTTTTCTACACAACCAAAACTACTGACATTCTGCTAATTCTTTGCTTTTTAAGTTTATTTTTTCTATTCATTAATGTTGCTTCATCTCCAGTCACTTTGGCATCTGTTGTCAGCTACTCTTTAAATTTTTCCTCACTAGGTTTAAGTGGTGACAGTAGAAAAATAACCCTATCCTGGTAGGTACAGCTTGTGAATTGTCAGCTTACTACCATCAAACCCTCCCCGCTCCACATTGTTTGGGCTTTTTGCTTTCGTTCTCCTCCTGTGCTTCCATACCTCTCTGCACCCTATTCATCCGCCCCCTCTCCTCCTGCCGCCGTGCTGCACCCTCGAGTTACTAACTCCACCACCCGGTGTGTTTTTATTTTGCTGCTAACCCATAGTGAGTCCTGCATTTGCCCTTGTATTCTGTATGTTAAGAGTCCAGCCTGGCCAGTTTTTTTTTTTTTTTCTTCCTCCACCTCGTTTAACTCCATCCATTCACAAACACAGGCTTTTGAGTTTTAGTAAGATTAACGTTTTTCTTTTCATTCTTTGCCTTTTGTTTCATGGATGTTTTTGTTTTTAAAATCCTTCTATGGTATTTATCCTCATCCTGTTCACATTGGGGCTTTTCCAGCTGTCTTTTCTGTAGATCTGCATTTGAGGTTTTTTTTTTAATACAGAATGTGCCAAAACAAAGGTGGCGTGCTGTGTAGCGGTAGAATGACAACAAACAGGACTTTTTTTTTTTTAGTCTATTCTGGTGTTTCCTTACGTCATTTTTCTTTTTACAGAAAACGTTAGTTAATTGTCGTGTTTTGTCAGTGGTTTCTTACGAGGAAACTGCTCAGATTTTAAATGTTGGTTAATAGAAATGCCACTAAATGCAGCAGATAAAGACAAAAGGGACGCACAATCTTTAAACTGCATCAGTCTGATGGGAGCAGACTGATGCAGCAGGTCAAATTGTTTCTGACCTTTGACTGGAGAGCAGCTGCAGCGGGCCGTCACCTTCAGACGAGTGTCTGTTGGAAGGAAGTGCTTGTTTTAAATATCTCTTCAGCCTGGATTCACTCAAGTGATACCTTTTGTTTTGAGCTGGCCGGGTTGTTGGTGTTAACATCTACCCTGCAACACAACAAAAACTCTGCCTTTTTTTTTTTTTTTTTTTTTTTTAAAGCCCTTTTCCAGACCTGAAAGTACTGTTTCCGTTCATACGAGTTGTGTTTAACAGTGAGGTCTGCGTACGAAATGTATTTTATTTGTCTTCATTCTATACTGAAACATTTTCAGCTAGCGTTCGGAGGTTCATCCCTTTCTGATATCGATTTTAGGTCTAAACTACAGTGTTTTAAAATACCACATTTGAACACTTCACATCCTTTGCCTTCAGACTAAAGTACTGTCACGTTTTGGCATCATGGTATCTGCTCTGTAGTGAGGGTCTTTGGAGATTTTGGTCAAAATGTCCTGTAGTTTTCCCGTTTTAAATTGTGCGTGTGCGTGCGTGTGTGTGTGTGCGCTCTCTTTGAGTGGTTTTAATTTAACGTCTCCATCCATGTGATTGATTACAGAAGGACGCAGTCCCCCCAGCTGAGTGCAAGCAGCAGTGAGGCCCGGCTGCCTTTGAGGACTGCACTGTAACAGCTTCTCAAATTAAAAGTAAAAAAGAAACATCCAAAAAAAAATAGTTACTTACTGCCTTATAATGTTTTGTATTTTTCTTGGTAGAGAATTTGAAGAAAGTTTCAAGATTTTTGTTACAAAAACTCATGGTATGATACTGGGAGCTGCGTAGCTCGATATACATAGTATTTTACTAGACCTGTTTTTCCTTCTCTTCCTCCTTCTCTGTACAATAGATAGAATACAGGAAAAAAGATCTCCCTCAAATAGCATGAACTTGTTTCTTCACTGCTAAAACTAGTTTGGATTCTTGTGAAGTCTTTTGTTGTGTTTTCTTAGACAACAGCTGTGGGTTAGACTGCATCGCGGCAACATCAATGTATGACACACCCTTTCCTCAAGTCCCGGGTTGTCCCATTTGAATCTGAGCGGGGCCGAAGCACTGTAGCATTTCTAGCTCTAGTGACGGCGGATACATGGGTCACCTGCAGCCCGGGGGTCTATTCCACTCAGTATTTGGGCCACTTGTGCATGACTTACTTTCCAGTCGCCATACATTCCAGTTGGCAGACTGGCTGGCACCAGCGGTGAACCCCCTCTCCAAAAACTGGAATGGACTTGTCTAAATTGAGCCACAAATGGTGTTTTTATTTTGACCTCTTGGCGCAACCTGGTAGTCTTTTAACCAGATCTTGGGGCAGAGAGGCTGAGGCTGCTTCAGGGCTGTTTTCTATAGCACTTTGTACTTGAGTGGTGTCCCCTCATTGGTTTGGTGTCAGTACTCCTAAGACGCACTTTGTGCACCGGCCTGCTTTGTGTTCAGAGGCTCGGTAGGAACAGGGTTGGGCAGATGTAGTGCATCAAAGAGAAACGGTTTAAAGTGCCCCCCCCCATCCGGTTATCACACTTACCTCACCAAATCCTGACCGGTCAGGTGCTCATGAGGTCCAGGTAGATTTTAATCACTGTGAAAGACAAGGGGGGGGGGGTAGTGTAATGAGGCCATCCTACTGGCCAATCACCCTCCATCACAAAACTCCTCATAGTTACCCAGAAGGTCAGAGCAATACTTAATAGCCAGGTAGGGGGACTAAAGAGACTGTAGCTTAACACCCCCCCCCCCCCCCATTCCAAATGCCTTTTTTATTTCAGTTTAAACAGGCAGGCGAGGGCTGTGTTGAGCAGCATCAGGTCCCTCATTCTGCAGGTAGTATTCAGATAATGTTTATTGGAAAAAAGGTGTGAGGGTTTCAGTAGGTTCCTTCTGAGCAGCTGTTGTCAAGGCAAAATGCTATGCTACAAAAATACTAATGTACTCAATAACTACGTGTATGTTCATGAATAAATTGGTTAAACATGTGAAATATGGTCAACTCATTTTCTTATGTGATCACTACCTAAAATTAGAATTCAGGTTTTTTATACATTCAAGATCCTATCTGATACAGATGTTTACAATTGCAATAACTTTAACTGGTGGCTGCACAATTTCATCAAACTTCTAAGCATGATTTAATGTAAAACCCTAAATGTATCAACACAATAATATAATTATATTATTGCATTTGTAGTTCAATATTTGTGAATTGAAGTTTAAAAATCTTGTCACTCGGAATTCTGTGTAGCTTGAAAGCGCACCAGCAGCACAATGGTATGTTAAGGCTCATCTGGTTTAATTAAGAATTCCATTCAAGGTGACCGTAACCATTATTTTGTCCTGTTAACATATGTGATTTAGTCTGAGCCCCATCATCCACCGGCACCTGAAGTGAATCAAGTGACTACTGCGCATGTCTTTATAATAATACATCTATATTTAGAGGGGTTTTGGCGGTTATCCATCGCTCCATTGGGCAGCTTTGGACTCTTTCAGACCCAATAATTGAAACTGAAGCAATTTAAAGTTTGAAAACTCTTTGCTACTGCCAAGGAAAGTCTCCCAGAATGGAGAATTCTGATATAGATAATGCCACTGACCAATACTACTTTATAACTCCGTTGTATGTAGTGTACTGTATAAACGAACACTTGTCTAAAGTACCCATAATGTCCACCAAATGTTACCGTCCCATCGGGTTGGTGGAATAGTTACCTGCTTTAAAAAACTGGTTAACAAGGCCGGCGCCGTGAGAAAGCTGAAGAAATGGTTACCCATATTGGATAACCACGAGCACCCTCCACCTCCTGCTGCAGAGACGGGATCGTTCCATCCCACTGCAGGATAACCATGAATGCTGTAAAACAGTCACACTGCTGCTGTTTAAATCCTTGCACTACTTGGGTTTTATTCAAACCATATTTAGTTTGTCAGAAGCAGATTTGCTTTGATAACACTAACCATTACCATGTATAGAATAGCCACACTATGCATAAATTATACAGTTAACATCTGTCCCACTCGGATAAAATATTTACCTTGACAATCTGTTGAACTTGACGATCTGGAGACTAAACTTTATTGATTTTATGTATTTCAAGTGCAAAATGACTCCACTCACTATTTTGTTACAAATCTACGTTGCGGATTTTATCGACCCCGTGACACACTGGTGTACCTGCCACCTTGTACCGGAAGAGGGCGCCATTGCCCACAGAATATAATGTAAGAGGGTTTTTGACCTGCATGGGGAACACTGTACTTAAATCAAAGTGACCACATCACCTCCCTGCAACCACATATAGACGCATTTACATCAATGTATTTAACCAAATGTTTACATTATAATGAGCATGACCAGTTTAGGACCCCTGAAGTGTCGGGTCAACATAGAAGCCGAACATTGTAGCACATGTTTGTCGTTATGTTTCACCATTCATAATGTCCTGGCTGGTAGGTAGCAACTTGAGCTGCATAAAGACCACATTTCTTTTCAGTTTGTTTCCTACACGCTTTTGGCAGGTGACATTTGGTATTATTGTTTTCTTTCCTTTATGCCTCTGCTCATTCATCAGATGTATCTTTATTGAAACCCTGGTAATTTACTACTACAATGTATGCAAAAATGATAGTATAGTACCTCAATGAATTGTACTGTAAACGTGAACCTTTTTTTTGCTATTTGTTGTGCAACTTATCTCCACTAGGGCTTTGCTGGACAGTAAAGTCCCCTTATAATGTGTTCATTTGTGAGAGTTTGGGGGCTGGGTACCTCTGAGGGGGGCGGCGCACCTCTCCAGCAGACCCCTCCCGCCCCTCTCACACTGTGACCAGCAGCCAGACAGACAGTCTCCATCCCACCACAACCAAACCCTTCTGCGCGCCGCATCTAATGCCTCCGCCTGCTCCGGGATAGACCGCCGCCGTCCGTCCGACCGACCGACTGTCCGCCCGCTGCAGCTCCCTGAAGCGACCGGACGAGGATGCTGGAAAACGGGATGAAGGTGTACAAGGAGGGTCTGCTGGAGAAGCGGAGCGACGGGCTGCTGCAGCTGTGGAAGAAGAAGCACTGCGTCCTGACCGAGGACAGCGTGCTGCTGCTGCCGCCGAAGCAGCACGACCAGCCACAGCAGCACCACCATCACCACCACCAGCAGCAGCAGCCGCACCAGGGCGGCGGGGACACGGGCAAAGTCAAGGAGCTGCACTTCGCCAACATGAAGACGGTGGACTGCGTGGAGCGCAAGGGCAAGTACGTGTACTTCACGGTGGTCATGGCGGAGGGCAAGGAGATCGACTTCAGGTGCCCGCAGGACGAGGGCTGGAACGCGGCGATCACATTGCAGATGGTCCAGTACAAGAACCGACAGGCGATCCTGGCCGTAAAGTCCACTCGGCAGAAGCAGCAGCTGCTCGTCGTGCAGATGCCCGGCCAGAAGACGGTCCGCAGCCCGCCAAACGTAGCGTGACCCGCGGCCAGTCCCGCGGACTTGGGTGCGCCAATAGTGGGTAAGACACAGAGCGAAAGGGACGGTGGGGCTCCCCGGGTCCGGGGACCACCTGGCGATCCCCTTTGCAAATGAAGGACCTGTATTTTGGGTGAAATCATTTCTTCCATGGATCTTTGTGCTTAAAAGGAGGACATCTGTTTCCATCATAGGCGACAGTCCTCCTCGCAGACCAGACCCTGAGCAAAAATGACAGAGGGGACGAAATTAGTACAAAATGAGGATTTACTTTGGCATAAAGTGAAGTTTGGGAGCCTCTGCTAAAGGCCTACCCACATGCTCCCCTCATCGAGATACAATATGCTGGATATCCATTCCCAGACAGGTTTGATCTTTTATACCAGTAGGGCTTCCCCTTACCCATAATACATGGCTTTACGCCAACACTGGACAGAGTAATATTTCTTTATACGAAGCCTTTAATATCAGACTTACACGTGTGAATGACAAATAAAATGTAGTCAGGTGGGTCCCCGACATTTGTAAATTCAAGCACATACTTTGAGTAATGTTTGTTCTCAAGATCAGGGCTTCCCTTCACCGTAAGATCAGCATGGCCGTAGCATTGAGGTTGAAAGTCACGTTTTCTGTGTAGGGATTCTGGCAATGTTGGAGTAAATATTTCAATGTTTTAATCAATGACATATGGTGTGTACTTCAACTAATTTCAGTGTATTTAGACTTAAATTATATTTATAGGCTTACAGAGAAATCCATTATATTCATCAAAAATGTTAATTTATATCATGGGAAAAAAATGTTAAAATTTCGCTTGAAGAGGGGAAAGCGTTTTTGTTGGTATGCGCTTGATGCTAACCCGTGCAATGAAGCGAGCAGCTTGCAGTCCTATTACATCCAGTCCATGTTTCCGGTGACGTTAGATTTGCCTCCTGCGTCCGGCCCCATGAGACCAATGTCTAATTGATTGCTTCTGCAGGTTAGTTGGAAACTCGGTTGGAAGATGGGTATCGACGAGGGTCTCCCCCTGCCGCTTCAACACAGACCTCCACTCTGCAGGACCCCTCTTCCATGTGCTGAGGTCCACATACCAGCCTCCCCTTTTCAATACAGAGACTCCTTTCACAAAAGACTGATGGACAAAAATCATGTGACCACAACTGTACTGTTGTGATGGGTTTATCCTCTATTTATTAGATGTATATATATTTTCTATAAAACAAATGTGTTTGTCAATGAATGTTCAGTGTGTTTGTTTCCAGAGAGGAACAAGAAATGCTCGCTCGGCGCCTTCCTACCCCACGTGTTACACTCATAGTCCCCTGGGAATAATCTTACATATAGTTATTTTAGGATGGTGGCTGTAGGTAATCAAGTCATTACTTGGGAAATGTTTCGATTATTGACCATGTTTTTATTTTTCAACTGAACCAAAGAATCATTCTGTTATGTTTTTGCTCTTGTGCAGTGTTACAGCTCAGAATATACTAAATACCACAGATATCTGATACCTGCATGCCTGCTTGATTTCCGAATAGCACCAACATCTTAGTATTTTTATTGTGCGCATCAATCGCTTTCCAGCGTTTTTAGAGAAACAAGCTATATCTTGATTTCGTATGAGTCTTAAATCGTAGTCAGTTTTTTTTACAGTGGTCATAGAGAGAAGCTTAGTAAGTAACATGCCCAGTTTTTGTTGTATTGACTGTTCTAAAGACAATTTCATGTTTGCATTACATTGTAGTGAGTGGGGACCAATAACCCTTTTGTTCTGGCTTCATGATGTGGTGTGAAACCTAAAGCTGAAGGACACCAATAGACCCAGCCTAAACCTTGTAATTAATACCCCCCCCCCCCCCACCACACCTAAAAAATACTTCTTGGTTAAGGAGATCCTCAACAACAAAAAACAACATAGACATAAGTCAGCACCAATCTGTTTCTTGAATAAACTGGATTTGTTGTCACATTAGATAATGTTCATGTTTCTAATGGAGGGTTTGAAGTTTCTCCAGGACAAAATTAACCAGCTTCATAATGTATCTGTTGTGAAGGTGGCGATATACAGGGCAACATTTAGCGAAACGTGACGGACAACTACTTCCTGTGTAGTCTTTGTCCTGATGATGGGATGTTGTTCTGTCAGGAAACATTTGACCTAATTGTTGCTGGTGTTTCTTCCTGTTTGCTGGAAAGTGTTCCCCACTGCTTTCCCCCCCCTTGCCATCGACTAGAGCCAAACCAACACATGCCTTGGTGGTGTTGTCATCTCCCACACAGGGTAATAGCTGTGCCCTTTATCTAATGCTACTGGTGTGATGCTTCCCCGACATGCCTTCCTGTTGCCATCATTGCACACACAGTTACAGCTGTGCCCTCTCTCTGTCCAATTCCTTATTTCAATGTGAGATCTATTTTCATACCTCGAAAAGACACATTCCATTAAAAGAAACAAAATGAAAACCGTGTCTTGTGTGGGTTCTTTCCATCTGCTGTTCAGCAGGGCCATTGAGGTGATTTGTTTTACTAGCTGCACCCGCCCCAGTTTCACTGACATTTGCTGTCGTTCAGATACACTGCCAGTGCGTCAATTCAAAAGCACATGTGGCCCCAGCTTCTCTCATGTCTCAAAGCTGAGCTGTGACATGTGGAGGAACATTACTGTAAGGAAGTGACTGGTCTCTCAATATTATAGTGGGCCAACAGAGTAGCCTGCGACCCTTGGCTTTCAGCACTGCATTTATAATGTAAAATAGTCACACTTCTTCTATTTTGATGGAGAATGAACATGCATTCATATTTTTTACATTTAGCAGCTTCTCTATTTTAGTATATAATAATATGATGCCTTTGTGACATGAGGTAATTACATGAGTCGTGATCTAGTCGAGTGTTTTGTTCTCAGTGAGAGAGCAACAAACAGTTTGGCAGATGCAGAAGGGAGTATGCGGGTTGGGATGTAGGGTGAGCGCAAATGTTTTGAACTGGATGCGGGTAGCCAGTGGAGAGAGCGGAGGAGTGGAGTAGTGTGGGAGATTTTCAGAAGGTTAAAGACCAGTCGAGCTGCTGCATTCTGGATGAGCTGCAGAGGTCGGATGGCGGTAGCAGGGAGATCAGCCAGGAGAGAGTTGCAGATGACGAGCCTGAATCAGTACCTGCACTGCCTTCTGAGTGAGAAGGGGACGTATTCTCCTGGGCCCGGTTTTTCAAAAGTAATCCACTAGGATTTTGGATAACGGATTGGATCAAATCTTGAAAATTAACTTTTCAAAAGAAAAAATGGATTACATAATCTGATTAGATCACGTAATCCAATCTGGGTTTTGATCCGGATCAAACCTTTAGTTTGGGTTTATCAGAACTTTTTTGTAGGATTTGGATCACTTTGATCCAAAAAATCTGGATTAAATTGATCCCATCAGAAGGGTAGATTCAGCGTGGATTTCATGCCCAAAATGTAATGAATACTTTAAAAATGCATCAAATAATACTATATTTGGATCATGCAGTATCTTGCAAGATATCCTATTTATTCATAAGTTTTACATTTTTTTGTTCATCCATCAGGCTACAGTGATTAGGTAGGCTTTAACGTATTCGGCCTTTCAGTATAGGCCTACAGCAGTAGTAGTAGAAAGAGTTTGGCCTCATAAAATAATCCCCCAAACAGCTGTCAAAATTGACCAAAAACAATGCTAATTTTTTTGGTGGTGGTTAATTTTTAATTTTAATCATTTTATTCTGTCACTAATTGATATATACATCCATCACTATCGAAAATATTTTTGTTTTTAGAATATTTATTAGTGATGCATGCAATGATTACAGAATAACCCCAAAAATGCAGAGAATGGCAATCACTGATTTTTGAAATCCAAATCAGAAATAGTGTCTACATTACATTACAGGTCATCTTTTGTTGGCACAAGCAATTTCACAGTGGAAACAATAAAGGAGCAGGAAGTTTCAAAAGAATTGCAAGTAAACAGACAAAGACAGCAAAGTGTTGCGTTTAGGTCCCTGGTCCTCATGAAGTTGTTACACCTTTGCCAATTTGTTAAATTGCATTGCAAATAAATGCTTTGCTATTTGTTAAAATCCAAATCCTTTCATGTAATGATTTTTCACATGTCATTTATATCAGCTCACACAAACACTTCAACCATTTGTTCTTGGCCCGGCTCCTCGTCACATTTTACAACCCATTGTGGCCCGCGAGTCAAAAAGTTTGCCGACCTGCTATAGACCTGTCCTAGGAGGGACATCTAATGGACAAGCAAGTACTATTGGTGCAGTTGTAGACACAACACAGGGGGTCCCTGGGCCTGAGAAGGGAAGAAAAGGAGTTTAATATGGCTATTAAATGTGACTAAAACAAATTACATTTTAGTCTAGTTTTCGTCGACTAAAACTAGACTAAAACTAAAAAGGATTAAAATGACTAAATGTGACTAAAACTAATATGCATTTTTCGTCTAAAGACTAAGACTAAATCATAAATAGCTGCCAAAATTAACACTGCATGCTACTCAATACACATTGTGTTAGCATTACTACAAAATGTGTAACAATTACTTAAAAAAAAATCTGATTTCAGATATCTGCTCATAGAAAATGCTCTCCGTCACTGCTGGTGTATTTACTTTTCTTGTGCCTTGATTGGTTGCCATGCCAACTGTTGCAGAAACTAGGTCCAGTTAATTGTCGGATTGGTGATGGTTTTATTCTTATCTGTCTGCTCGGTTTTAGAAAAACAGCACTCAACTGTTTTTAACGACACTACAAAAGCCATAATCACCTTAACAATGTTTATTACTCGGATTACAGGGACTGTTATTGAGCTGCACAGCGCCATCATGTCCATGCACACCAATCACTAAGAGACGCAAAAGAGGCAGCCCCTTAGATGGATTTCTTATTTTAAACGAATGCTAACAGGTACACAAAACCAAGGCCCATTATTCTGGGACATCTGGCGTCAGCGAGACTCCGCAGGGCCCCCCTCAAACAGAGAAGCAGCTCATCAGCATTGAGAACGGAGAGCAGGTTGTTAACACACTCTCTGTTTTGTTTTCTCCCAACTGTGTAGGCGGGAGATAGATAGGTGTCGGATTGCTTACACGGCGCGTGTGTGTCAGAATCAAAGCCAACTTGTTTGTACCTTTGTTAGGAAATCTGACAGAAGAATGTATACTCAGGAGTGTTCTTCGTGGAGGATTATGGGGTAACATAAAATGAATAATCCCATACTTCAGATCTTCACCATTCAGCTTCATTAAACCATTATACTTTATGTTATTAGCCATTACCAGGCTGTGCAATGTCGGATGGGGATTTAAAAATCCAGGTACACTTAGCCATCTGCTCAGCAGTATGTGAATAGTGTTTTATACTTTCCAAATAAAAGACCCAAAAGATAAAAATGGCATGCTGGTCTTTTCAGAATGGCATTACATTACATTACATGTCAATTAGCTGACGCTTTTATCCAAAGCGACTTACAATAAGTGCATTCAACCATAGGGTACAAACTCAGAAGAGCAACCAAGAAAGTGCAATTTCTTCAAATAAGCCAATTTACAATTTGCTATAGATGAGTGACGTTACAAGTACAATTTAAGTGCTACAATTTGTTAGTCTTTAGTCGAGGTAGAGTCTGAAGAGGTGTGTCTTTAGTTTGCGGCGGAAGGTGTGAAGGCTCTCTGCGGTCCTGGTGTCTTCAGAGAGCTCGTTCCACCATTTTGGCGCAAGGACAGCAAAGAGTCGTGATCTAGTCGAGTGTTTTGCTCTCAGTGAGGGAGGGACGAGTAGTTTTGCAGATGCAGAGCGGAGAGTGCGGGTTGGGATGTAGGGTTTGACCATGTCCTGGATGTAAGCTGGACCCGATCCATTCACAGCATGGTACGTGAGCACCAATGTTTTGAACTGGATGCGGGCGGCCACCGGTAGCCAGTGAAGAGAGCGGAGGAGTGGAGTAGTGTGGGAGAACTTCGGAAGGTTGAAGACCAGTCGAGCTGCTGCATTCGGAATGAGCTGCAGAGGTCAAATGGCGGTGGCAGGGAGACCTGCCAGGAGGGAGTTGCAGTAGTCCAGGCGGGAGATGACAAGAGCCTGAATCAGTACCTGCGCTGCCTTCTGAGTGAGAAGGGGACGTATTCTCCTGATGTTGTAGAGCGTGTATCTACAGGATCGCGTTGTCGCGGTGATGTTGGGAGTCAGGGAGAGTTGGCTGTCGAGTGTGACGTTTTGGACAAAAAGGGAAGAAGAGAGACCGGCCTGTAGTTGTTTTCTTCAGAAGGGTTGAGGGTAGGTTTCTTCAGGAGGGGGTTGACTCTTGCCTACTTCAGAGAATTGGTAAAACAGCCAGATAACAGAGCGTTGTTGATGAGACAGGTGAAGAAAGGAAGAAGGTCAGGAGCGATAGATTGTAGAAGATGCGATGGAATGGGGTCAAGAGGGCAGGTGGTCGGACGGGCAGAGGTTACTAGGGTAAGAATTTGGTTAGGAGAGAGGGTGGGGAAAGAGGAAAGTGAGGGCGATAGAGGTGAGGTCGGTGAGACGCAAGTAGTAGGAGGTGGGTTTGAGAAGGAGGAGCGTATGTCAGCTATTTTCTTGGTAAAGTAGTTGACAAAGTCTCCCGGAAGAAGGGGGGAGGGGGGAGGAGGGCTAGAGGGTCCGAGGAGGTTGGAGAAGATAGAAAAGAGTTTTTTGGGGTTAGAAAATGAAGATTCAATTCTGGATTGGTAGAAAGCACTTTTGGCAGCAGAGATAGAAGCAGAAAAAGAGGGAAGGAGAGATTGAAATTCAAGCAGGTTATCAGGTCGTTTATATTTACGCCATTTCCTTTCCGACGCTCGCGTGGTGGCTCGCATGGCACCGGTTGAGACAGCCGGAGGGGATTGGCCAGTCCGTCGTGTTGTAAGAGGGCAGAGAGAGTCTAGAGAGGAGGAAAGAGTTGAGAGGACAGTATGTATTTCAGCTTGCCACTCCATGTGTATTTGTGTGGGTGCAGATTGGAGTTTCTGTTATGCATGATAACACGTACATGTCTTGGAGGCAAAGCTGCCCCAGCATACAAGGGAATCATTTGCCGTCTCTGTGATTCATAGAGGCAGTGGCAGTTTGATTCATATTCACTGAGACGTGTGTTAGACGTAATCTTATATTAGTCTCAGGCTTCATGATCAGATAAAACCGAGAGCCGTGGACAGGAGGTGAAGATCAGACTAACCTGGTGCTTTTGGTAATGGATGCTAGGCTTGGTTAGTGGGCATTTTATGAATTTCTTCTCTAATGATTTAAGTAACATTCATATATATATATATATATATATATTGCATTACCCTTTTGAGCCACATGGGCAGCTTGAAAGTCTGATAGTTGTAGTCCACAGTATGAAGGCTGGAATACATTCGGTCTGTTTTACTGTTGAGAGAAGTTCAGGGAAGTACATTTACGCAGAA